CGTCGCTCTCTACGCGTACCGTACACCCCCACGGTAACTCAAACCATCTGCTGTACCCACCTACGGTAGCTCAAACACCCATCGTACCACATCAAAGCTCTGTGATCACTGAATGCCCCTACAGTAGCTTGAATGGCTGTCGTAACCCTGTACGGTAGCTCAAACACCCGTTGTACTACATCAAAACACAGTGCTCTTTGTACGCACCTACGGTTGCTCTCTACGCGTACCGTACACCCCTACGGTAACTCAAACCACCTACAGTAGCTCAAACGATCCACCATACATCAACAAAGCTCTGTGATCACTGTGCCCATCTACGGTCCCTCTCTACGCGTACCGTACACCCCTACGGTAACTCAAACCACCTACAGTAGCTCAAACGATCCACCATACATCAACAAAGCTCTGTGATCACTGTGCCCATCTACAGTCGCTCTCTACGCGTACCGTACAGCCCTACGGTAACTCAAACCATCTGCCATACATCAGAGCTTTGTGTTCACTGTACGCCCCTATGGTACCTTGAATGGCTGTTGTAACTACCTACGGTAGCTAAAATGGCTGTCGTAACTACCTACGGTAGCTCAAACCATCCACTGTACATCATCAAAGCTCTGTGATCACTGTGCTCATCTACGGTCACTCCCCATGCGTACCGTACACCTCTACGATAGCTCAAACACCCGTTGTACTACATCAAGGCTCTGTGATCACTGTACGCGCCTACAGTAGCTTGAATGGCTGTTGTAACCACCTACAATCATTCAAACATCCGGCGTACTACATCAAAGCTCTGTGTCCACTGTACGCATCTACGGTAGCTCCCTACGCACACCGTACACCTCTACGGTAGCCCCCTACGCGTACCGTACATGTAGCTTACTACCCTATGGTGGCTGTACCTCTCTTGAGCTGCGGCCGCATGTGCTGCGGCCACTTGCGCAACTGCCAGACTTGCGCAACTGCCAGACTTTGTTGGCCAATTCAAGGAGCACAAGCTAGCAAAAAAGTCGCAGATCAGAGCTCTGTGTGCAGGCAAAACTACAAAAGTAGGCAGCAGTGGTTATCTCCCAAAGTCACTTGTGTATTCTAGCAAGCTGCCCTATGCCTGTCAGCCTTAGACAGAACTGGGGCGTGGCTGTCGGGATGTGTCGCAACACGGTAGCTCTTCGAGTTGCTGCGGCATAGCCTTGCAGTTAGGGGCCTCCACAAACCAGGATAGTCCCCCTCACAGGTCTAGCAATAGGCCATCAAGCCTTTGAGCAAAGCTCGAAGGTAGATGCATTGCAAATTGGGCTTTGAACCTCAGTTTTGTATT